TTATGTTTCTTAGTCAAGTTTTCCAGAATATTTAGAGAAATTTGATTTTTAGGCTTATTTTCGGAATTGCGTTCGTCGCACTAAAACTAGGTAAATTTTAAATGATGAGTTAAATATATGGTGTATGTTTGATAAATAATATTAATCATATTGAAAATATACTGAGTATTGTATTAAAAGATAATAATCATTGTTGGAGTACATGGTGCAATGTGATAAACGCTATTAAGCGTAATTATTTACTCTCGTTGATAAATGATATTTATTATACCATTGTTATTATTGGATATTTGATAAGTAATATTGATCATATTTTAAATTATGTTAATCATAATGTGATTTATGATATTAATTATATTATAAATAAAATTTATCATAATCGGATTTAAAGGGATTTATGATATTAATCATGTTACTTATAATGATTAATCATAATGAGATTGTAGTTTTGTTTATGATACAAATCATATTGGAGTACTATGAGATATTGTAACAAATGATGCTAATCATGCATTTCTATTCTTAAATGATGATTATCATATTAATGATTTATACTATGCACAAGGACGAGCTTGTTTAACTTATAAGTTGTAAATGATTATAATCATTCATATATGAGTTGTGTACATTGTGGAGAGCATGTGGGTTGACTAATAAATATAGACTCGTTTTTATTATCTGGTTTGATTGATTGTTCTATTGGAGCCATTGTCAGGATATGACTATGTTATATTGATGAGTTTAAGTGAACTGGCTAATAGGTTAGATCCATTATATTTTATGTCATTGTCAGGATATGGATATGTGATATGTGTTGTCGGGTGAGCTGACTAATAAGTTTAGACTCACTCTATGTTGTGTCATTGTCAAGATATAGTTATGACATTTATTGTGCCATTGTCAGGATATGGTTATGATATTTTATATAATTGTTCGTGACATTGTCAAGATATGGCTACGATATTTTATATATTTGGTGTGTCATTGTTGGAATATGGCCATACTATATATTTATATAAATGCCCTGATACACGGTTGAGGTCTCAGGATTTGTGGTTAGGACTGAGGCGTATATTGTCGGTTGAGATCGGTACTTGGATATAGGAGATGTGTGTGCCCTGGTAAAGGGGGACTCTAGACCACTTTGTGTGCGATTTTTCTTGAGATACCCAATATCTGGTTGAGTTTGCCCTATAGTCCAATGAGAGTCTTTATTGTGCGTGTGTGTGTGTATATATATCTATCGACTATGTAGTTATAGCATGAGTTTGGCTAAGGGCGTATCGTTTATCGGTTCTCTAATTGGGTTATAGTAGAAAGAATTTTTTTATTACTCTGACCCACTATTTATTTTTCAGATCCACGTCAGTTCCAAACTTAGAGTTCGTTTGTGCTAATCAGAGAGCATTCATATTCACTCTTCCGGATTGTCAATATAGGACATTACCCTATATTTCATTTATTGTTTAGACTTTATTAGTATTTCAATTTTGGGATTTATTTAGGGGTCCTGTATTTATTGATTCTCGAGTTGTATTTTAGAGGATTTTTATTTATGGTTATTTATGGTGATTCATTATCATGGGATTATTTCTTGGAGATTATTATCAGAGGAGTTTATTTATTTATTATTTAGTTTCCCTTTCAGCGATTATTTATTTATTTTTATTTATCTCTTGTATTTTATGTTCGTTTATTACTAATTGTTTTGATATCCCCAGTTCTTCAGGTGCAGACCTGATCAACCAGCGTTCAGAAATTGGGAGATATCACAGAGACCTTAGAATACTCATTCATGGGATCCATAACGCCCATGTCTATCCTCAATACATCTTTCATGGGTGAAGACCCTATAATACTCAACCATGAGCGTTATAACATTCATATTCCTTTAACTCCTCTCATTTCACCCTATGTTGTTGGAGATCCCAAAATACTCAAAAATAGGTGCCATAATGCATGTGTCTATCTTCAGTTCAACCCTCATGGGGGAGGCCCTAAAACTCAATTCAAACCACATAAGATTCACATCATCCTTTTTCCATGGACGGAGGTCCCTAAACTCATTTATAGTTACATACAACTTATTCCCTTTCATCTCCTTTAAGCGGAGTCCCTAAAACTCAAATCGATTCCATCGCGATGCACCTTTCTCATCGAATCCACCGTGATTCAGTCTTCTCATCGAATCCACCGCGATTCACCCTTCAAATCGAATCCATCGTGGTTCACCCTTTTCTAGTGGACGGAGGTCCTTAAACTCATTTCCTATTCTAAACTACGTTCTAACTTTATTCCCATGCCATGGGATACGTACGCAGCTTAAGCCAACCTTGAGCTCAGTCAAGTCCCTCATCACTCTTCTCATTCCTCTATTGGGACCATCTTTCGCCACATCATCATCATTTCTCCTCCATATCATCACCATCGCCATATAAATGTAAATAATAAACACGACATCATCGCTAATAAGTCAAAATAAACACAATAATAAAATATGTTTTCTCTACACTAACAATATAAATGATACTTCTGGCCGTGAGTAAGAAATTTATCTACACCAACAATAGTAACAGTTGGATATGATTACTATGTCTTTTTAGTAACTATCTCTTTTGATCACATTTCTTACTAATATTTATGTGGATATTACATTTTCCTAATTTACTCACTACTATATTTTCACTCCTAAACTACCGAAATCAACACAATATCACATCTGTACTCAGCTCATTCTTTCAGACCAAATACAATATTTCCAACTTAAGTAACCCCCAAATGTCATCTTTTATCATTTTTCATGCATAAATTATAGGGTAAAAAGAAGAAAAAAGAATTTCCTAAATTATTGGTAAACTTGCAACAAACCCCATGAACTATAAAAATTGTAAAAAAAACCCCATGTACTATACATTTTGTTGCAGATAACTCCATCCGTCAATGCTCTGACACATATGCTATCATGTGACCAACGTTTTAAAATTAAAAGACCATGGTGCCCTTATGAACATTAAAAGACAATAATACCCTTATTTAAACACAGACCCAAACACCTTATAACACACATAAACACCCCCTAACCATACATAACCCAATTGCTTACTTCACTGTCTATGCCTAAATTGCTACGTCACTTTTTCCTCTCCTTAGCCATGGCAGTGTTCGCATTGCCACCACCCCACCACTTACACCACCACCACCTTCCCTCAAAGTCAATCAATTCAACCACCACCATCTCAATTAAACCATACATAGTCAAACCCAATGAACCCCAAAACCCACTGAATCTAGCCATCGCCATCACCCACCACTTCTACAACCACCATCACCACCATCATAACGCCAACCAATCGAGCCACAAACTTCTTTCTCCATCATCTTGAGAACTTAGATAATTATTTAATCAAACCCTACAAACCCACTGCAACCACCGTCATCATCGAAGCAATTGAACCACAATTTTTTGGAAATTCAAATAATTCATACTGAACCACCCCAACCACTACAATCACCGTCACCATAACGTCAACTAATCGAGCCACACATTTCTCTCAAATAATTACCCAATCGAATCCTACAAACCCACCATCACCACCATCATCACCGAACCAATTCAAAAAATTCATATTGAACAACCCCAGCCACTGCCATCATTGCCACCATAACGTCAACTAATCGAGCCACAAAGTTCTCTCAAACATTTACCCAATTGAATCTTACAAACCCACCGTCCCCACCATCATCGACAAACCAATTGAACCATAAATTTTTGGAAACTCAAATAATTCATACCAAACCACCCCATCCACCATATTCAATACTGTCATAATGTTAATCAATCGAGTCACAAACTTCTCTAAAACAATTACCTAATCGAACCCTACAAATCCACTATGACCACCATCATCATCAAACCAATTTAACCATAAATTTTTGGAAACTCAAATATCAAACTGAACCACCCGAGCCACTACCATCACCCACCACTTCTGCAATCACCATCACCACCACCATGACTTCATCGCTGGAAAAAATGGTGAATCAGTTCTAGGGTTTGGATTTATTTTCTACGTGTGATTAAGTATTTCCTTTTACGATGATTCATTATGTTGGAGGAGTTCGCTGAAAGAGATTGTTTTTTGGAAGGTGATATATGAAATAAAGAATATGGCAGTGATGAAGTTGGATGTGTTGGTGAAATTCCATTGGTAGTTGAGATTTCAGTAGCCATGTCTGCAACTTAAGACTCTAAGGATTAAAGCTACGTCATTTTATAGTAAGGGCCAAATGGTCTTTTGCCTTTTCCAGTGACCTGATGGGGTGAATTGCAACAAAATCATAATTCCATTGGTTGCTGAGATTTCAGTAGCCATGTCTACAGCTTAAGAGTCTAAGGATTAAAACTAAGGGCAAAATGGTCTTTTGCCTTTTTCGATGACCTAATAGGATAAATTGCAACAAAATCATAATTCAAAAGGGTTTCTTGTAGTTCAAGGGGTTTCTTGCAAAACCTCAATAGTTGAAGGGGGTGTTTTTTGCATTTTACCTAAAATATATGACTGGTTTCACAAGTCAAGGACTAATTGGGCATTATGCTGACAAACAAGGATAAAACAGTATTTTACATGGCGCCCATTGGTATGGGAATTCCGTAACAGAAAAACCAACGACTTTTCATTATATATATATATACAATATAATTGTGTGTGTACATATATATAATATAATATAATATACAACTTTGTAATAATTGGACATTGCCAATAAAATGCAAGGTATGGGTCATTAGATAGCTCTTTACAGCCCAAAAAACCTTATAGCTACTTAAAAAAATAAAAAAAGAAAAAGAAAAAGGGCGTGAGTTGTTATGTTATCCAATTCACAATATTCCAAATCCAACTGTATTACTTTGTTTTCTTCTCTCTTTCATTTTTTAATTTATGCTAATGTATACTTTTCTTACATCGTTTCGAGCATCTCGCTTTCTTTCCTTCCCCCTTCCCCCTTCCCCCTTCCCCCTCTCTCTAAAAGCACTCTTTCTCTCTCTACAATTACTATATATTTTACACATATATATATATATATATATCAATAAATCAATAAATAGTAACTTATTTATCCAAGTCTCAAATTATTTATGAAAGTCTCAACGTCTTATTTAGCCCAGTCCTCCATTTAGAGTAGAGATATACACACATATATAGATATAGAGAGAGAAAGTACCACCACCAGCCATGGCGGACGGAGACGCCAATGTCGGCGGCGAGGTGACTCGAGCACCACTCCGCCTCGTCCGGGAAGTCGTAGGGATGTCCAGCGGCGGATTTGGCGGTGCCTTCAAGAGGGACTGTACGGATCTCTCGCGGAGGGTCGCGCTTCTAGCTCACCTGCTCGAAGAGATCAGGGATTTCTTTGGAGATCTCAGGCCGCTCGATGCTTCCACCTCTTCGTCGTCTAGATCTACTTCCCTTTCTGATCTCACGGTGGCGCTTCAGGCCGCTAAGCGACTCCTCTCCGCCGCCGGCAACTTCAATTCCCAGATCTCATCTGTAAGTCTCATAAGCATATATATGTATATGTGTGTATGGATATTTACATTTTTGTTCCTGAATTTGAAGGACATAGATTAATTGGTTACTTTATATTGTGAAATTATTGATACTAATATCGTTAGTTTGTAATAATTCTATGACAATTAGTATATGACTAACACAATTAGTTCATTGAATATGATGAGAATAGGTTTTAGGTGTAGTTTTGACATTGTCATTCTCAATTTAATTGCAATGTGCAAGTTGTTGGGATTGTTTGATTGGGTAATTGATGATCTTATCCACTGTTCTTAATTTAGTTCAACATTGTAACACACTAACACCTCAATTGTTATTCATTAAGATCAATTGTTTCTGGTTGTGGAAAAAGAGTCCATAAACCATTTATTCATGTATTTTTATGTTGGGGTCGATTGGTGTAGAAATCATGATTTTTCTAGCTAGGCTTCGTCTTCAATCTTCTCTATGTAAGTTGGATGAGAAAAGAACTGGTTGTTATGCAGATTGGAGTTTAGTTTTAACCTAGGGATTTGTTGAAAATGACCCATTACAACCTGATCATTCATCAAGAAGCAGTGTTGTTGGGATAGGTTGGATCATTTCACAATACCATAGACTTTGTTAATGATTAGTTATGATAAAGGTCTTAAATTATATGTTAACCGGGACCCCAACAACATATTAACTTGATTTTTCTCAAATCAACAAGCCATTCTCAATTCTACTTGGGTTTCGCTATTGGGATTTATTTTATCTTGTTAGTTGACTTAGTTCTTTGTAAATCCATGTCCTTGTTTAAGCCCAAAGGATCCTTGTCCCTTTTCACAATCTCAACTCATATTCCTTTTGTCTTTCTTCTATGAAATGTACCTTCAGCTCGAATCAAATTAATCATAACCACTGATGCATTAGCTGATTTATATTGAATATGACAAAACTATCCCAACAGACTTGTTATAATCTTATGATAAGTACATTGTGCAATACACATCTTTTTTTTCTGAGGAAGAAAAATATTTTATGAACCAGCAATAAATATCTGAATGCCTCCTGCAGTACTTCTTAGGCCATGGCTGTGCCAACAGGATAATTAATGGCACTGTGATTTTTGACAATCAGTTGAATAAAGTTCAATGTTTGGGTTTTTGTGAACAAAAAGTATGTTTGTTTGGCAGGCATATAGTTTGTTCTGTTGAAGCATTTTCAATCATCATCTTAAAGATGTATGCCTCTTGTTTATCATTAAATGTTGCATTTTGGTACTATTCAAATGTTAACAGATGCTACATTAATAGAAAATTTACGCTCCTACCTTGGAGAGAGTGATGTAGGTATACCGTCTAGTTTTTTGTCTAGTTGTTACCCTCGAACAACATACGCTTCAATTGTCATGTTAATCATAAACTAAAGTAACTATTGATAAAATTCATCGTGCTCATTCTCAAAGAATTCCTAATTCTTGTTTTAAGGATGGAGCTGCCAAGAAAATCGCCTTTCAATTTCAATGTGTGACATGGAAGTTAGAGAAAGCATTGGGAAGCTTACCATATGACCATTTTAACATCTCAGAGGAAGTTCAGGAACAGGTAGGATTTGAGTTGCATCATGTGTGTTGTGTTCTTGACTTGACTTAATTTGCCCACATTATTCTCTTTTTCCTTCCCAGGTTGAACTGGTAAGGGCACAGTTGAGAAGAGCCACAGAAAAATATGGTGGGCCTCTTAGTTCAACAATACTATCACGTGCCTTATCTCAGCCACTGGACAAAGAAATTGATCTGGCACAATCTGGCAGTAGGATGATCGGAAGCTTGCATATAGAGAATGCAGGTATTATTGACCATGAAGTTAAAGTAATGGTGGACACTATTCCAAAAGGCAATGCTTCGACTGGTGATTGTGTTGATCAGATGATTAATGAATCAGAAAGGCCGAGAAATGTTGATGCTGGCAGAGTAATTTCAGCCAGCAATGGTCTAGATGAGAATAAGAAACCTGATTCTCCTGTAATTCCTGTTGATTTTCTCTGCCCTATATCTCTAGAACTTATGAGGGATCCTGTTATTGTGGCAACAGGACAGGTATCCTCCGACATTCATATGCAATTTAATATTTTTATCATCTCTTTCTGGTATCTCAAAATCCTTACATTATTCTTGACTTCATTATCTTTCTGTTGATTCTGCAGACTTATGAGAGATCTTACATTCAGAGATGGATAGATTGCGATAATACAACATGCCCCAAAACTCAGCAAAGACTCCAAAATCTCACTTTGACCCCAAACTATGTGTTGAGAAGTCTAATTTCCCAGTGGTGTGCAATACACAATATTGAGCAACCAATGGCATTAACAAATGGAAGGATAAAAAAGACTGACGGATCACTCTGTGATGTTAGTGGGGACGTAGCAACCATTGAGGCACTTGTCCGGAAGCTCTCAAGCCCATCCGTTGAGGAACGCAGGGCTGCCGTGGCTGAAATTCGATCATTATCCAAAAGAAGTACAGATAATAGGATACTAATAGCAGAAGCAGGTGCTATTCCAATTCTGGTTCATCTATTAACAGCAGATGATGGTTTAACCCAAGAAAATGCCGTCACCTCCATTCTCAATCTCTCAATATTCGAAAATAACAAGGGTCTCATCATGCTTGCTGGTGCTGTTCCTTCTATTGTGCAAGTGCTCAGGGTTGGAAGCATGGAAGCAAGAGAAAATGCGGCAGCAACCTTTTTTAGCTTGTCACTTGCAGATGAAAACAAAATAATAATTGGTGCATCAGGCGCCATCCCGGCTTTGGTAGATTTGCTTCAGAATGGAAGCGCGAGAGGGAAGAAGGATGCTGCGACAGCACTGTTCAATTTGTGTATTTATCAGGGAAACAAGGGCCGGGCTGTGAGGGCCGGGATTATTTCAGCATTATTGGAGATGCTCACAGATTCAAGCAGTGTTATGGTGGATGAAGCTCTGACTATACTGTCAGTTCTTGCCAGCCACCAAGAGGCTAAGATCGTGATTGTAAAAGCTAGCACAATACCAGTCTTAATAGATCTTGTGAGGACCGGTCTTCCCCGCAACAAAGAAAATGCTGCTGCCATTTTACTTTCCTTGTGCAAGAGAAACACTGAGAATCTTGCTTGTATAAGTAGGCTTGGTGCCGTTATACCCCTGATGGAACTTGCTAAAAGTGGCACGGAGAGAGCCAAGAGGAAGGCTACGTCCTTGCTGGAGCTTCTGCGAAATCTGCAGCAACTCTAATTGGTTGCAGCATTGAAGAATTCATCATTTGCTTCTTTGATTTTTATCTCACAATTAATTTTACACGATTTTTTTTGCGCCTGAGAACTGAGGATATAAGCGTGAGAAAACAAAGTCATTCTCACCGCTTTCTCTCCATTTATTCCTTCTTTATTAGTGTGCAAAAAATTCATTTGATCTGGCTTTTGTTGAACTAGCTTTCCTGTTTGATATATTTGTTGCATGAAATGTATATATATTATCAAAATGTTTGACACATATTGAAAAGCAAGAGAACTTACTCATACCATTACTTCCCTGTTTGATATATTTGTTGTGTCAATCTCTATATGCTTAAGGTCTGAGAATGATGTATACAAAAAGCTTCTTTTACTGGTGGTGGTGAAGTTTTCATGGGAAAATTTTGGTCCTTGTGGTTGGCTATTCAAAAAATTTATAGGGAGTAATGGGATGCTCATTATATTTTCTTTTTGGCTATTGCTCAGTGTTGTTTGTTAAGAGTGTTAGGCTCAATAAAGGGTATTTAGGTCTTTTGGCCATTTTGCTTCGATCTTACTGTGAGAATTCTATCAAAATTTTGAAGTGTAATGATTCGATAAAAGTAAAGAAATGAACATACACCAATTAGAGCTGATATGAAATTAAAGAGAAGTAACATTTAATTAAAGTAGAGAAAAGCTACACTAAGGGCCTGTTTATTAACAGGAATCATTCCTGTTTTAAAAATATAAAGTAAAAGTACAAATTATGTTTATCAAGATGATTTTACTTTTCAGCTTTTAGAAAGTACTTTCACATTTAATGAAGGAAAGAGAAAGTAAAGATTTGTTACTTTCTCTATTCTCTCCACTGTACACAGAAATACTTTATGTTACTGTAGCATTCATTGACCCAGCCAAGCATCACCCATCATCCTCTCCTCTCCCTCTCCCTCTGTATCATCATCATTTCATCCCACCAACCGGCAACAATGGAAGACACTAACCACCGACGACGATGGAAGACACCACCCAGCCACCACACTCTCTCTCTATCAGTATCGCTCTCTGTCTATCTGGACGAAGACGACGATGCCGAAGAAGACGATGATGTAGCTTCAGTTTCTCTGTATTCGATATTGGATCAAGCCCCAATCACTCTTTCTCTGTATTCAAAATTGGATTGAAGCACCAATCTCTCCTCTCTCATACACACCATCAACAATATAATACCCAAATCCATCAACCAGTCACAGAAGAAGAAGAAAAAAAAAAAAAAAAAAAAATTCCCTAAAGGGCAGACCCTCGCCGTCGACAACCACCACCACCATTGCCATGGCCGACAACCACCTCCACCATCGCCACATCCGAAATCTTCTTTGGTTTATGTTAGAACGCCTCCCTCCTATGTCTCTCTTTCTCTCTCTACAAACACTTGCAAAACCCACCATCAATTGCAAGGCAATTCAGGCTTCAATTGCAAGGCAATTCTTCAGTCCAGAATTTCTTCCCATGCCTGGTGGTGGTCCATTCCGGCGTCAATTGCAAGGCAATTCTTCAGTCCAGAATGAAGACTTATGAAAGAGAATTTTCGAAAGGGTTGAAATAGTCTCTATTGACCAGAGAGACTTGGGCCAGACAATTGACAAAGATTGGAGCATAGATAGACCCAAAAAGAGGGAGAGAGACCTATGTCTATAAAGGCGAGACGCAGGTTTAGAAACCAAATACTCTTAATTTGTATAACCCTAGGATTGGAAAGCAATTCTTCATGAACTTTCAAGTTTCCAGAATAGAGAGGTACGGCATGATATTTGACCGATCAAGAAATCCCGATCAAGAAACCCTAGGATTGCAGCAATGATGATGATGATGATGATATATATATATATATATATATATATATATATATATATATATATATATATAACATTAATGGTTAAATAGAAAGCAAAATCAAAATTATATAATTATTAAACTTACTTTTTAATTTCTTACTTTAAAAATATTGAAAGCATAACGAATTAATAAACATAATTTTACTTTATATTTCAACTTTAGAAGTGAAAAGTATAATTTTACTTTTGAAGAAAGTAAAAGTAAGAAAGTGAAAGCGTTAGTAAACGGGCCCTAAGTGTAACAAGTTTGAAAATGAACTGACATGAAATTAAGCTAAATCTAAAGATAAGAAAATAAAGCTAAAGCCTAAAAGCAAAGTGTTGGATTCTGGTTGTTGCAAAAACACTTTCTCCATTTTGGCGAATTGAAGTCCATGCTTGGATGAGCGCCACGTGTAAGGTAGTGATGGGAACCTAGTCGAGCCAGAATATTCGGCTTCTCTTGTGAGGATGTGACACAGTAGGTCGGGCTATTCTTCGATGTGAGAGGAATGAATCTTACCTGAACTATCATCTTGTTAGTATTGGGAAACGTGCTAGTTTTAAAACTTTTCAAGGGATTTTCATTCACAGATCTTGATTCATCACATAGAGACAAGTTTTATGCAAAAATAAAACATGATGTATCATTCAATTAACAGATTAAATCCTTACATCAAATGTCTGAGTAAATCTTTAAATCTTTCCTCTAAAGTGAATGTTCTCACTTATTATAAACCCCTTAGTAAGATGCCTTCTCCTTGGATCTCCATCTTCTTGGTAATTGTTTTGCCTTTAGGAATCACTCATAAGCCTCCATGAATGACCTTGGAAAACTAGGCTTGTGGGAGCCTCCATTAGATGAGAACATTAACCCTAATTTTCTAGAGAGAGAAAATATATTCATTTTTCCTTCTACTAAAAATCACCCCTAAAATATACATAAACCATGTATATATATAGGCAACATAAAGATAAAGAAAATGAAACAATAAATCATTTTCAATCTTTAATTCACATGTCTCAAATCTAATAGGATTCCAATATCAAGTTGGGTTATGAGTGAGAATCATTTGGGCTTATTATTTTATTGGCTACAATGAATTAATAATTGGCCCGATCCTTAGACCCAATTCAATTAATTCATAAATTAATTTCTACTCCACTAAAATAAATTAATTGAACTCCAATTAAATAATAAATAACCTCTAAGTCAATATTGCACTTTGACCCCTCTATGCATAATTAGTTATCGGATAAATAAAGCTATCAATCCGACTACTTAATTAATATATTTATTTTGATACCATTGATTATTTCTGGCTTGATCACAATAAAACATTTGTTTGACAAAAATAATAATTTAGATACATAAATATATAATAAATCATTTTGTCTAAAAACACACGAAGGCCTTCGAATTTACTTTGTGATCGACCATAATCAATACAAAATAAATGCAAGTAGCAATGATGCAAATATTGAAAATACAACCCTCTAACTATTAATTACATAATTACCCAAAGTGTCGGTCTAAGGATTCCGAAAATTCCGCCGAACAAATCAAAGTAATTACTAATTAATAAAAGAGTCTATACTTCTCTCACGCTTAAGAGTCAAATGCCATGACGGTGATAGGGAGCAATTGTATATGACGGCTCTCGCAATATATCTCAACCTAACACGGATCCAGTTCAAGTCTTAATTAATTATGAGTCCATCCATAATTACCGACTATGAACAATTTATGATAACTATTTATATTCATGTATTGATCGCCATCACATACATATATAAATATCTCTTGTAATCAAGTGGACACTATCAATTCTATAATGAATCGAAACATAATACATTGAATTTACCAATTGTATAATGCATAAATATTTCAGAAATATCATAAACATATGTCACTATAATCCAAATAAAAATTTGCTATGCCAGGGCATATAAATCCCTCCCATCACCTATTATATGGAAAATGTAATAAACGCTTCACCAATTAGGAGAATACATTAATAACGTATCACATTCCACATCATTACATTAGAATGTTGCATTCTTGACATAATGTTATTGTAACTATTTCATTCCCAATGTAATAGATGTTACATGTGACATGCATATTATATATATATATATATATATTGCCATTAGTAGTGGTATTTGTCGTCTAGAATATGTCCCTTTAATTTGGTGTTGATCAATGTATAAGACATGACCTCAAGGTTCATGCCACTATTGACTGATCAGTCCAACTGAATTATAATTAATTTTTTGAAAACGGAGCCTTCTAACTACGAAATTTTTGGACTTAAGATTGTAAAGTAATAAATTTTGGATACATGCAATTACTCGTCGATTATATATATCATTTGTATAATGTGAATCGAACTCAGGACATTCGAGTTTACGATTCGCCCTCTGAAACCTCTTAACGACTGGGTCACCCGAACGTACAGATTAACATTATAACTTCAACCTTTTCTTTCAATTTTCATAGGTTTAAGTACTTACTTTCCATTGCTTTGTGAATTTTGCATGCTCAAAACAAAATTTCCCATTGAAACTCAGCCAAGCTAATACAGAAACTTGGTTGGTAAGCAGTGTCGCAAGTTAGTGCAGTCCGATTTGTGAAAAGAAAGAAAAGAGAAGCTGTTTCAAGGAAACACCATGACAATCACAACCCGAAACCATGATGTGTTTGTTTGGATATAAAATATTTTTTATTTTCTATCGTTTGATTGTTATAAAATATTTACAAAAATATATATATTAAAATCTAACAAAAATAGCTTACCCATCAATTTTCGACAAGTTATTTTTGCACGTTCTGCCTAATAAACTCGACCTCTACCTCAACCTCAACCTCAACCTCAACCTTGACCTTTGCTAAATACGGAAAAAGTAAAAATAAAAAAATATTTTTACCTAAAAAAGGAAAAAAAATTCCAAAAAAATTATTTTACATCGAAACAAACAGGAGCGTTAGTTCCAAAAATTTTCAATGTGTTCTTAACTTGGTTACAAGATAGGGTTGCTTGGAGAAAGGGAATGAGTTTTCCAGAAAAAATGATCATCTTCAACAGGAAAGAATCTTCCCGAAAATATGAGCAGAGCAAATGGGAATCCATATCACAGTTTGTATTGCAGTAGAATGTGAAGTGGAATATGTGCAGCCTTTTTTGTAACTCGGTGGTGGTGACAGTGGCAGTGGCAGTGGCAGTGGCAGTGGCAGTGGCAGTGGCGGTGGAGATGACAATGGTGGTAGTGGAAGACAATAGAAGGCGGCTGTAGTGGTGTGGTGGTGGAAGGCCGCGATAGTGGTGGCGGTGGCAGTGACAAGGGTGGTGGTGGAAGTGGCAGTGGTGGAAGGCAATGAAGGTGGAAAGCTATGGTGGTGGCGGAAATGAAAACGGTGGTGATGGCGGAAATGAAGACGGTGGTGGTGGCAATTACGGTGGTGTAAGGCCGTAGAGGTGGCAATGGTCGAAGGTGGCAGTGGTGAAAAACAATGGCAGTGATGGAAGACGGTGGTGGTGGAGGCGACGACGGTGTGGTGGTTGAAGGCGGCAACAGTGCTAGGAATGGCAATGACGGTTGCAGAAGGTAATGGAGATGGCGGTGGTGGTTTTTGAACTTGAAACATAAGGATTTTTTAAAAACTTAATTTTTATTAAAAGAAATTAAAAAAAAAAATTTATTTGGGAATCAAATGGTAATTTCATACATTTACTTGTGAAATGGATTTTTATTCTTTGAAATAAATTTTCTTTCTAATGAAATAGCCATCTCAACTTAAAATTGCATACCAAACAAAAAAAAAAATAATTAAAATAATTATTTCATTCGGTTATATTCATGCAAGTCAATCGCAACATAAAACTTTATAAACTATTTGGCATATCAAAAATAATTTTCATGTCACCGTGAAATCTGATCATTTCCAATTTTAACGTCAAAGTCAAATCTCCCACGTGATCGTGAATGGAATATATGTGTTCACAAGTTTTGAATTCACACCGTGATTATCGCATGTCATTTTCATATATAGAAAATACAGACAAGTAATTTAATCTGATTAATGTAATCATGCCTCTCACATATCACAAAACTTTGAAGAGCTTGAAACAATCATGGTCCCCACCTTAACAACACAATATGTCAAAAATTGAAGAAAAACAACAGGTTTGGTTAGTTTAGATTGATATGGCAAAAGAAAAACAAAACAAAAAAGACAACTCCTCTATCCCCACAAACGTTTAGAAACCCCCGCCCCGTTCACGCTCAAAATTGTTTAAACGGTAGATCTTTTCACCTCATTCCCAAACCCGGGACGAGTACCCGTCCCCATGGGACAAATTGTCATCCCTACCCGTGAGTATGTCATCTGTATTGACTACTGATATGGTCTAATCACAAATACAAAAATAGTTCGTAATTACAAAATTTGAAAAGTAATAAATAAAGATAATAATTTATTTTTTAGAATAAATGCAACAACCCTCTCTTGTTTTTTTAAAAAATAATAATAAATAAAAAACAAAAATTTTGTTTAGATTGATAATGAGAGAGCTAGGGTCACATACTTTTCTCTTTTGTCAAAGAGGGAGCCAATTTTCAAATTCACAGTCTTTCTTTGACCCCAAACAACAACTACCCATAAACTGTATCTCTAATTGAACTTGTACCTACCATGTCATGTGAACTCATACTGAATATTAACCAAGAAGAGATCATTTTGTTTCTTGCCAAAATACAGCACAAGAAACCCTAATGGGCAACACTTTAGGAGGGAAAAAGAGTGCAAAAGTGATGAAGATAACCGGCGAGACGTTCAAGTTGAAGACTCCCGTCCAAGCCGGGGAGGTGGTGAAGGACTACCCGGGCCACGTCCTGTTAGAATCAGAGGCAGTTAAGCATTTTGGTGTTAGGGCAATGCCATTAGAGGCTCACCAAGAGCTCAAGCCCAAAAGGCTCTATTTCTTGGTGGAGCTGCCAAAGTTTCCGGAGGAGAAGGCTCCAAGAAGAGTCCGGTCCGGGATAAATATGAGCGCCAAGGACCGGCTCGAGAGCCTGATGCTGTCTCGGAGATCGGCTTCGGACCTCTCGGTCATGAGACCGAGCGGCATTGTGGTGGGGGAGTCGAAAGAGAGGGCGACGAGGGTGAAAATGAGACTGCCGAAGGCGGAGGTGGCTAAGTTAATGATGCAGAGCAAAGACGAGGGCGAGGCAGCCGAGAAGATTATGGAGCTTTGTGTGGCGAATAGGAGGGCGGCGGCGGCTGGGGGTGTGAGTGGTGGTGCACCACCCGATGGTGGTGAGTTGGGCTCGTTGTTGCACCAACAAGTGCGTTGGAAGGCTGGTCATGGAGGGGTTAGGGATGGTTTTAAGGCGCGTGAGGTATGTAATTCTTTCTTGTGAGACACTCATCCAATTTTTGTGCCATGTCTCGTGAGTTTGACTTTTTTTTTTGAGAAAATTACATATAAATGGAGTCAAAATTTCATATTTACTTAGAGGCTGAGTCAAAGTTTCATATTTCTCTAAAATGGATTACTGAGGTGGCACATAGTTTTTTACTGTTTAGAAATTGTGGTGCCTAAAATACCCTTCCGCGAAGGTATTATTTTTTCTTCGAAGGTACTACTTTTTTGAACTGAAAGTACTACTTTTTGGTATCCAGGTACCATGTTTTTTAAACACCCGCGAAGGTACTACTTTTTCTCCGAAGATACTATTTTTTTGAACTGAAGGTACTACTTTTTTGCACTGAAGGTACTACTTTTTTGTTAGAGAAGGGCATTTTAGGCACCACAATTTTCTAAACAGTAAAAAACCATGTGCCACCTCAGTAATCCATTTTAGAGAAATATGGAACTTTGACTCAGTCTCTAAGTAAATATGGAACTTTGACTCCATTTATATGTAATTTTTCCTTTTTTTATTATTATTATTTTAATAATAATGTGGATGGAAGACATTGCGGTACGTTGGTGGACCAAAAAATGGGTAGCAGACATTGCGGTAAGTTGGTGGGCTGAAAAATGGGTAGCTTTAATGAATCTAACATTGACTTTTAATAAAGCGTAAGTACTCGTGAATACTACGAGTGCAGTTTAGTTGTGGAAAACTTGTACAATATGGGGATATTTATTATGGAATATCCTTTAAAAAAAAAAAAAAATTTGAAGCGTGAGATATAAAATAATATAGTGGAGGGTTACAGATAGGCAAGTGGCCTAACGGTACAAGGCTTTTATTTTTTAAAAGAAAATTAGAAATTCGAACTTCAATGGAGACAGTGTGTAAGTACCAATTAAAAATATATATATATAGTGGAGAACACGCCTCATGAAGCAGAGGTTATTGAATTGGCTTCCTTTCTTAAGGCGGACCGGCTTTTAAAAATTACTTTTTTTTTTTATTCTTTTCCTTTTAAAAAAATAATAAAAAAGATTGATTGGTCCTGTTAGGATTGATTTGTTCCTGAATCCAAACACCTAACCCAATTAGACTAGACGAAGCTTTTGACTTTAGAACAGATATTGCAGTGCAATTCCCAGTACCTATTGTGTACATCCTCCGTCAAAGACCTCTCCTACCTCACTATCCACTTTTATATACAGAGAAGGCAAACCTAGTGCACAGAATCCGTCATTGCGACGTAATTTAGAGATAATAAAATGCACGCAGTATTTTCTGTGCATGTAAAAAATCGATTTCTTTATTTCGAATCAATGACTCTGAGATAAATTTTTAAAAACAAACTCTTGTAAAATTTTCGTAAGACAAAAGTGTCTTACACAATAAATGTAGTTTCTTTTAGTATTATAAATTTACTTTGATTTTCTTTCTTTTGTTGATTTTATTATATGCAGAAGCGAGGGGATTTTCTACCAACCAACGATGGAGAGATCCAGTTAGCTTTGGCCTCATAACAGCAAATAGAGAAATCAAGTTCTCACTCAGTCACTCTCTACATTTTACCATATTGAATTAGTTCTTAGCAATTGATGTGCTTTTAGTCACATTTGTACATGTAGTAGAAATAGAGCTAGGTTGAACCCAGAGAACAATAAATGTGCAACAATTCCTTTTTCATCCTTCAAAATAAAAAATAAGAGTTCATTTCACCTTCCCATGATTTGGATAGTGTCCTTTTTCCCCCTTAAAGCAACCTCCCTTTTATTTATACTTTCTCCTCTTCACAACAATATATATATATATATATATATATATATATATATATATATATATATATATAATTTAATAGTAACCTTAATGGAGAAGAAAAATAAAATTAATATTAATAATAGTAAATGTCTATTTGTAGTCCAAGCGACTCAAAGAAACTACTTCTTTCCAAGGAAAGCTTGTGTACATGTACAAAAAGTACAAAGGAATTTCCCAAGGAACTTCGTTCCCTCCTTTTTATATAAACCTCTTCTCCCCCAATAACCATGTACAAAATAATTGAGAAAGGGATATCTTATATAGCTCCCCATTTCTCTCTTCTATATTTTCCTCCCTTTTCCTTATTAATTAACAATGTTCGGGGAAAAAAATGCAACAATGCAGGTTCAAAATGTCCATTGATCGGGTACCGTAAGAAAATAGGTTGTCATCGCTTTTCGGAATCTTCTCTTGTATTGTTTTGGAGAAATAATGGTTGGGGGAGCATTCTTCCGACCGCCAAGTATGCCAGAAGCCTTCACCCATGTCTCCAAATGCTTGTCCCAAGTGTATTGTCTCATGAAATCAATGATCCCCAACACTAGCTCCTTGCGCTCCTCATCCACCCCGACCAACAAAGAATAGTCCATTACATCAACAGACTGCACAAAAGCAAGAAAGATTAACAGTGATCATTAAGAATCAGAAGACCACAGTCCTCGGCAATCCTACGTAAATTTATCAAATACAAAAATACAGAGTAATAAATTTTGTAGGTCTACTAAGTGGGGGGAGCCTCGTGCACTGGGCTAGCCCTTAAGACCTCCTAAGTGGGTTTGGGCTTTCAGGAATGAAGTTGGATTCAAAATCTTGATGCAATGATTAGATTGCTAAAACAACTTACTGCTAAAAAGGATGTATCATTCCAAACAGCTCTCTCTAGGCTTCTCTTTGCCTTGCTTCCAAGAAATATGGGATCTGTTCGTAGTGCTTCTAAAAGATTCATATCAAGCAGTACTTTGTTTGCCCCTGTAGTATCCGAGTTGTAGCGAGATCGTGAAGAGCCCTTAAGATCATAAACCCTTGAGATATTTCTTTTGAAGAATAGATTCTCCATGATCATCAAATCCATTTTTGTTTCCTTGCCACCTTTCAGGTGCTTGACAGTGACCTGACAATTAACCAATATATTATTAGACAAGATCACAAGAATACATTATATTTTCATTCAACATTCGACACCTTATCCCTCCCCAGCCAAAATATATTTTCATTCAACACATTCGCTGACGCATACAAAAAAGGCATTACACACAAGGCTGTATAAAAGAGCTCTAACCTGATAAATACCGAGAATTTTAGCAAGACACGTTGGACTTCCTGAACCAAGTGAATCTGTCAAATATTTGAAGTACTCAGGTGCAAATTCCTCAAAAGATTCCAACTCAGTCTTTGTCACTTGTTTTATAATGAATCTCTCATCCAATGACTTGGCAAAATACACATTGCTCTTTCCACCTTGTGCACTCCATCTCCGGCAACGGCTTAAGGAACATACAAAATCCACTTTGCTAGGGCAGCATTTCTTTCTAAGTGCATCAAAGTGCTTTGCAAAATAACAGGTGACAGACAACTTCACTTTGCTCCCAGCAGTTGATGAGTCATCTTCAAAAGTTATTCTTGGATGAGGAGAGTTCTTGGGATCTGCAAACACTGTTCCAGTTGTTGAAGAAGCATCTTCATATCCATAACTTCTGTAGTGGACATAATCCAAGTCCATGGACCCAAAAGACTGACATGATGAAAAGCTAGAAGCTACAGAAGAGCCTTTGTTGGCACCAGCATTCCAGCCTCCATGCCTACTGAGCTTACCAGTAACGTACTCCTCGTATTCCTTGCAACTTAGGGCATAAGATATAATGCTGGTGGGTTCACTGTCATAAACAGCAATGACCAAACTATTTTGACCTGCCTGTGGAAGCAGCAATCGTGCCCCTTCAGGCACAAGAGATGCAGAGGAGATAAATGACGGTGAATTGAGCGAAAAATTTAATTTTTGAGCCTCACATGTCGACATTTGAGAATAAGACCTCTGTACTGGATCTCTAACCATGCTCCTGTAGTCTCCAGAAGCATGAAAAGATCTGAGAGTCGATAAATGCAAGGAAGAGGGGGGCAATCCTTTCTTAATTCTTTCCTGAAGTCTTACTGCAGAATCGAAGGAATACACTCTAGTCGGTGACAGTAGCCTTTTAAAAGGTGGACTATCATTTTGATTCATTTCTCTTCCAGAACCAGCTTCAGGTCCATCCAACTGCAGTTTTCGAAGAAACTGAGCCTTCAAGGAAGGTTGATTAGTACCTGTCCACGCAGAATCTATTTTATCTGACAGATTGGATGCAGCAGAGGGGATCCTTTCCAAGGATGTCTTGTTGACTGTAATATCCCCATCAGAGTATAATTCCTCCTCTCTGGAACGATGGCTTAAGGTTAACATGGAGTCTTCCGGAACAACAGACTCGGAAGGTGACAAGTTAGGGTTCTCCTTCTGCTCTAATTGCATATCATTCCTGGGAAACTCGTGACTGAAGTCAAAGCTGCCATCCTTAAGTAATGGATCACTTTTCCACTCTTTCAGCTCAGCATCAGATAAAGCAACCGGCGTAAACTTGGAATTAGAACAGCTTGTTTTGAGGAGAGAGTCCAATGAATAAATGCGACGATCCCAAACATGCGAACCTATTAGTAGGGAGTGTCTCAAGCGATTAAGTTCAAGAATGTCGACTGCTGTCTGACCCAATTGTGGTCTCTCTTCCCTACCTGGTTGAAGCAAATCCTGTTCAAAATGATGGAAATTGTTCAGAACTATATGGACGCATTACTTGAAAAAATGATAACAAAAACACAACCTTCTAAAAAAATATATCACTATTTTTTCGGAAAATTAAAGATAAAAAATTATAAGTACAATGTGCCATACCAATCAAGAACTGTATTCAAACAATTAAATATGGAAATCGGCTCGAGTATCAAGTTGAGGCTTACATTGTAATCATTTCTCTCTTTTACAAGCAGGTCTTTCAACTCCACAATGTGGCTATGTAACTCACTTGTATCAGATGGTTCATGGCCAAAAGATGTACATTTCTGTTCAATGCCATCTAGTACATCTGATATCTCCGCATACAAGGCCTCCGTCTTAGTCAGCAGCTGAGTGAAAGGTAGAACGTTACTACATGGTTATTCGCAGAAGTTATCTAGATAATTTATATAAATATATATATATATATATATATATAGGACTGTTGACCTACTCACTGGTGTGCAAGGAATTTATACACGAATTAAATCATCACCGTTGGATATAAAAACATAAACTACCTTTTTAACTGCCAAATAGAATCTAACGGTTACTACTTCAGGTGTGCATACATTTTCTTGCACACCAGGGAGCAAGAGAACAATTCTGTATATATATATATAAGGATAATCTGTGCTAAACATGAATCCAAGATTGCAGAGAATGGCAATTTTAAATATTATATAGTACCTCTGATGCCTCTTTTCTTATCCACTTCTGTTGAAGATGGCCATTGAACTCGAGCACCGAAGGAGGCAAATGAACAGAAAGAATCTCAATGGGAGAATAGCGGAAGAACGCAACCATACTCCCAAACCTGTTAAGGCAAATACACACACACACACACACACACAATGATCGCCATCGTCACAATTCATAGTTAGAATTTTTTCAATTAATCATCATTATTGCATGCAACAATAAGAAATTGAAAGAAGATCCCAAGAATAGCATGTACCCATAATAACGGAGACAATCCCTTTGCAGAGAATGGCCACAACTTGCAACACGATTAGCAGTTGCATGATTTGAAAAACTAAGTTCCAAAAACTTTCCAAAAGAAAGTCCCCAAGCAGCATCAGACATGACTACTCTACGGGTTGCTGGAGGAACTCCATCTATATGCGCACACCTGAGGCATCGGTGCCACATCCAGATCTTTCCATCACGCTCCCCAGGTAGTTTCACCGAGGGAATGCGTCTAACATTTATTGTGAGATTTCCCTGCTGGTGGGTATAGCATAGGACATGGGCTTCAGCTGGCTCTTTACAAGACCGACAAGAAGATGTCTGGCAATATAACATGCAATTAAATTCATCAAACCCATTTTCTATAAAAGCAATCTAAAGAACAGAACAAAAGAAAACCAAAAGAAGTTACCTCATCAAACAGGTCATCGCGAAGATACCTCCCGAGTGGCTTATCAAAACTGCCATAAAACTTGATGCGCAGAAGACGAGAGCGTTCACATACAGATCCATTTAGCACACAACGGCTAGAAAAGGATACCAATATGCTCTGGTGACTGTCCGTAGCTGAATAATATTCACTGGATGCTTCCATTTCATCAATCCTTTCAGGCTTTATTTTTGTATAACTTTCCCCTGGTAGCCTCTCTTCTTGACCCAGGGTTTCCCGCACTTCATGCTGGGATTCATTGCTTATCTCAGAATGAAGTACAGTGGATACACTTAAATCCTCTAGAGCCAGATTAGCTACTAAATGATCATTGTATGATGCATCAGAGAGTACATTTTCACCTCTATACTTCATTGAGTCATGAGAAGAACAATGACCAGGATTCTGATAATCACACAATGATTCCTGTTCACCAAGTTTTAAATTGAACACCGCAGGTCCTTCGTTAATATCCGACATGTAACCTGCTGCTTGGTAATTGTTGGGAGAAACAGAACCAAGGATAACTGAAATGGCATCACAACCAGCTGTTCTCTCTGGTATAGCAATTGAAGGTTTCACTTTCATTTTAGGAAGACTAGCACCCTCATCGGCGAGGAAAGATGTCTCCAGGGATAAATGATGGGCTGCAAACACTGCATATTGAACAACATGTTTAACTTTCTTTAGTTCTTCACGACATGAGCCCTTCAGCAGGACCTACAAAAAGATCAGACCAATAAAAGTTTCTTTAGATGTCTTCTAGCCTCTAGGGTTTCTCCAGGATACATTAAAGTATGTTGACAATAATGCAATAGGTAAAGAAACCCAAATAATAAACGAAAACACCATGCAATTAAGATTAAAAAAACACAACACTATCTAGAACCCAATAACCGGCTGTAGTTCTAAAACAGATACTCATAGAAACTAACCTTTTTCCTTTTTTTATTTACTTCCTTTTTCTTTCTTTCTTTTTTTGGGAGGGGGGTTCGCATCATTAAAAGATATTGACAATCCCTTCACATTGTTAACAAACTTTGTAGATAAATGACAAGTATGATAATAATTCTTGACAATGATCTTCTCTTTCTTTGGGAAAGGGGAAGCACACATCGAGTATCCAAAGATAAGAATGAAAAATGCCATGAGTTTAAGAAGGAAAGGGGGAAAAAAATACGCAAGCAAACAAATCAGCAGTCAGTTTGTAATTAGACAAAAACCATTATGAGAACATAGCATCAAAATTTGACCAAAATCAACCAATACGTAGACAAAGAAAGGTCTAAAATATACTGCTCTCATTTTTTGTAACACTTCCAAAAAGGATATATAACATAACATATACATTTATTAGGTAAAATGTTTGTGTCCTGGGCAATTTAGTATAGCCCACTAGAATGACATGATTAACACCCAAATGGCCTTCAAGACAGATAACAGATTCTGCATGGAGAACTGAAACAATAACTAGAAAATACTTCAAAAAAGAAATGAAAGGATTTCAGATTTCATAAAATATGATGCACCAACATCATAGATTATAGACTTGTATGAAGAAGATCAATGAGTGCAGCATATAGCAAATAAAATGGGTGCAGCAATGAATGAAGGCACATATCATAAGAGTGGTAAATAAACAGGCCACAGGCATGAGAATGCCATTAATAGATTTATCCAATTTAAACGGTGAGCATATTATCTGGGATGAGAAACTGGAGAAAGATAATAGCTTAAACGTATGGGAATCACAAGTAATGATTATATGAATGCCTATGAATTGCAGAATGGCCAAAACCAACCAAAATATATTATTTGGTTTATCCATAACATTAACAACATCCTGCTCTACATTTCTATGGCAAAGGCTCCAGACATATCTAAATGTCCACTTATACATCCTTGTTAAAGGAAATTCTACAAAAGACCAAAGAAGTCAATTCCAATGCAAGCATCAAACATGATGGATGCATGGCAACCATGTCATCAATCCTTGTGGAACATACTTTTCAGAACCTCAGATATATTCAATTTCAAATACAACCGGAATAAATAATAGGTTATTAAAGAATACGAAGAAGATAAATAATAATAATAATTAATAAATAAATAAATAATAAAAAATAAAAGAAAGAAAAGAAAAAAGCATTACCGTGCAACCCAAACGTCTGGGGCAACCTTCAAAAAACATCAAGGTTTTGGATGGCTTCTTCTTGCACTGAGTCTCAAGGTCTTCAGTCATTCTCTCTAAGCGGAAGAGCTCACAGTGCCCCAGCCGTGTCGTAGAAATATGATCAATTGATGGAGTTATAAGAGCACCAGTGCACCTGGCTATACGTTCCAATAATGGCCTCTTAACATTCAACACTAAAGAGATCTCTTTTGCCAATAGATACTCTTGGGCATATGAAGATACACTTTTTTCTACTAGCAGCACGTTTGTGTGGTGGGTTTCTATCTTTGACACAATCATCTTCAGATGATCTATTTCCTGTTCAGGAAGCAGAATTCAGAAACTCATTCCACCAATCTGATTTTATAATAAAGATGAACAAGTAAAACAGTTAAAAAGAAACCTGCTGCAGTAATGTATCAAAAGATGACAGCTGATTAGGAACTCTCTGGTACTCGAGTGCTCCTCCTAACAGAAGTAATCTAGGGTTTTTGTATTGTGATGTCATGCGCTTGTGTTTTATATTCTTTGTACAAACTACTCCTTTTATGAGTGTGCTGCAAACACAACAAACACCCAACTTTAAGACTTGTGATATGGAAGCATAGTAGCATACAGTACACAAGAAAGAAACATGGTATAAATGAATATGGAGCACCTCAATAAAGGGGGAAATTGAACATATTGTACCTCTCACTAGGATTGCCTGATGCTATACACTTGATCTTTACATAATCACCAGGATCCATGCTACCTCCTCTGCTAGTATCTGGTTTCACAAAATTGGCAGCTTGCCAAGCTATTGTTGTAATTATGTCAAGCCATTCTTCCACACTGTTTTCTTTACCCACCTTTATACCCTCCCCTTGCAGCAGCTGTGATACAAGAGCCCTAAAATGGCCCTGCACCACAGCTCTCAGCGGTTCCTTGTGCCCCTCACTCTGTTTCTCCTTTGCAGGGAAGATGCTTGGAAGGCTGATACTGGAAGAAAACATTGAACATGACTCTCCAATATCATCATCCTCATCATCGGATGCAAAGAAATTGCTTTCTATTTCATCATCTTCATCACCAGGTGGTGGAGGAAACCAAATGAGCCCATTGTTTTCAAAATCCAATGGCTTTTGCAACTTATCACAATGATCCCGAAATATTGACAAATCATCAGCGCAATCATCAGTAGTATCTGGATCCTCAGTCCCTATCTCTGGCCTTCTAAAAACAGCCATAGCTTCTTGATCAAAGGGACCATCGTTCGGAGATATCGGTCTTCCCCCTTGCTCCTTCTGTACAGAATGCCCAACTCTATTGGAAGTAATATGAATCCTAGAGGGGCTGTCTGAAGGACTTGATCCAACTGACTTAAAACTATAGAACTCATGTCTAGCACTAACACTACTGGAATCTATATCTGAAGTGTCATGACAGTATTCACTAGATGGGCTGAAAAAGTGCTTCATGGAATCCTCTCCATCTTCCTCATCACTCCTACAAATGTAAACATATTGTTAGTTGTTAGTGCCTCATCCACTCAAGAAAACAGGTTCTCGTTACACTAATGGAGCTTTTCCAGATCATGTGAAAATTAAAAGATTCCTCTAAGTTGGAACCGGTATGGAAATGATTCTAACTTGTGAGCTCAAACGAGGTGGAAGAAACAAATAGGTGATTTATGAACAATGATATAACAGTCTCCAAAATCACCCCAGCGACATTAAGAAGATAAAAATGAAGTTACTTAATCGAACTGAAAAGAATTTAGTAAATCTAAATGCCAAAAATAAACCAAAACAAAACAGAATTTAATTCAAATGCACGCAAACCAGAATGGTTTCACTTTCATATGATTTCTGAACACTTGAATGAAGATAAAGACACAAGAATTCAGTAACTAACAGCTTCATACTATCATTCTATTGTATAAAAGATAGAGATCTAGCAACCTAGGGAAATCATAACTCCAAACTACCTTACTACATACCTGTTGAAAGAGCAGTGGATCGACGATACTGGAGAAGGGTGAACTGCAAATGAGGTAATACCGCTTCTGGTAGCATGGGGAGAGTAACTATCAAATCTTTCGCCACTGAAACTCGAAGAGGGTGGTTCGGGGCTTTGTCGGGGAGACTCAGATGGGTAGATTTTATCACTATATTTCTTCCCAAGGGAACAAAACCGGCAAGACTTTATACGAATCCCAATCTCTGTCATGCTTCCCATATCTCCTGATGCATCGATCACCGAAGAGCCATAGCCCCTCGCACAATTCCTACACAACATTCGACCACAGCTTTGGCAGTAATACCTGAGGCAAGTAACTGTAAAGTTCATCTCACACTCACAACACGCTTTGCAAATGTTGTCATCCATATGGAGTTTCTCAGACAAAGAAGACAGATCGCTTGCTCCCCAATAAATCCAAGACCAAACTCTTTCAATCAAATCTATGAGTGACCTATCAGGTATTCCCATAGAAAGCAATGACCCACCAAGTTAAACCACCAAATTCCTTCTCCTCAACACAAAAATTTTGTCAATCTTCTTCTCCTCCTAATTATAACTAAAATAACAAAAAACTACTGCTTTGAAATTCTCCGACTTGCTGGTATTCAAAGACCCAATTAAAAAAATTGAAATTACAAAACCCACAAGAAAAATGGTGGGTCTCGGATTCGAAACTCAAACGGGTGATTTTGAGCTTGGTTTTTCTTTTTTTTCCCTCTTTTTTTTTTCTTTTTGGTAAACAAATAAAACAGGAAATGAAATTCCTCCTCCAATACAAACTATGGCAAAAAAAGGAAACCGATTGCTACCACTAAAATTACGCACAAAATGGATTTTATTTACATAGAATCGTATAATTATAAAAAGACATGGAAACACAATGAATCTAAACAACAACAATAAAGGAACAGTGTATTTTTTTTCCCTTTTTTCCCTGATGAATCTATCACAGCAATTAAAAAACAGCTCGAGACTCTCAAACCCTAAACCCAGCTAACCGATCCCAGAATCATCAACATCAGCTAATTTAGATCCCAAGGTCGATTCGAGCATCAGAAAAACAAGATCCAGAGTTTGAAACCTAGAAGAACACCAACAACTAAACCCAGTTCTGATACGATTCACCTCAAATCAAACAGTACAAGCTCTAACAGCAAACGAAACCCTAAAACCCAGTACCACCACCAACAAGAACAACTAATTGTCCGATTTGGGACAAATTAAACCGGAAAATGGTTACAGAAAAACCCTAGATCAACGAAATTCACTGATTAAATATATAAGTTTGTGTTTCTGTCTATATATATATGTATGTGTATAGAGAAGGAAATCAAAGAACGAAGAGAATGAGAATGTAAAGGAGGAAAAGGAAGAGTACAGAGAAGGTTCCTTCCCTATTGGACTCAGTGGCTCGCATCTCCATAGACACCACTTCCTTCTTCTTCAAACACAACACCACCACCTTCTCACTCTTTCCCGTCTTTGCCGGCAATGCTTTCATTTTCACCCCTCCCCTCTCTCTCTCTAGCTATATTAAAATCTTCTCTCTCTCTCTAGCTTGCTTCTCTCTCTCTCTCTCTCTCTCTCTCTCTAACTTTCTTTTTACTTTTCCGTTTTTTTTTTTTTCTGTCTTCCTTTCTCTCTCTAGAAGTAGGGTTTTATGTCATGAGTCATGAGTCATGAGGGAGTTTCTTTTCCTTTCTCTTGAATTGAAGATAGTAGTATTTTAATTTTGATGATTCTCTTTTATACAATACCAGTGTTTAATTTAGTTAGATTAATTAATTAATAATTAGTCTATTTTATTCTTTTTACTTTTCTTTTCGTTTTTTTTCTGAATTTTCTAACAGAGGTTTTAAGCTATTGGTCACAATCTGGGTGTGGAATAAAGTATTTTTGGCTGCGGCTCAGTCAGCACCCATGGATATATGGAATTGGTATGGGATTCGGAGGCACGAGTTTTTTCAGGAGTAAAGTCTAACATGCGTTAGACCTTATTGTAGTTTCCCATGAAACTTCTCTGGGGACATAGAAAGTCTACAATACCCCCAAAATAGCGTATCCACGAGATTTTCAGCCGTTAAATGAAATGATGGAATCCACTTGTTAATCTCAAAAGTTATGTTGGCTAAGAAAATTTTTTGTTGGGTAAGTGGAGTCCCCTTGTGTCTATTCTCTTATACTCCGTTTGATAGAAAGGAAGAAAAAATCAAACTTTCATCGTTTGGTAAAAATAATGTAAGAAGAGAAAAGAAAATATAATCGATGAGTCATCATTCCCTTTTTACAAATTTTTATCCCTTCAAATATGGTCCGAAAACGCGAAGGAAGAAAGATAAGGTTGCTATAAAAGTTTTTAAATTACAAATTTTATTTTATAATTAACACTCTCTTCTCTCTTCTCTTCTCTCCTAACAAACAAAATAAAGTATTATTACATATTTTTCTCTTTCATTCAACCAAACAAAGAGAAGGAATAATACAATATATTCGATGTCTCATTCATCTCTTCTTCTCTCCCTTCTATTCATTTTTCTTCTTTTCTACCAAATGAAGCATTAGACGGTACTTAGAGAGTTATCTTAGGTTAATTCAAGTTGTATATTAATTTTTGTAACCATGCATTAATTTTCGTAATCTAAAACTGATATATCCTTCAAAGTTTGAGATATGATAATCTCTGTGATAGTTAATTAAAGAGGGAATGATGCAATATCTTCTTTAAAAATGTCTCATTAATCTTTTCTTCCCTCCCTTTCATTCAATTTTCTTCTTTCCTATCAAATAGAGCATTAGACGGTAATTAGAGAGTTATCGATTAATTCAAGTTGTATATTAATTTTTGTAATCATGCATTAATTTTTGTAATCTAATAATGATATATCATTCAAAGTCTGAGATATGATAATTAGTTTTAGCGAAATTTGATATCACTCAGCACCCATGGATTCCGAATTAGCAAAGGATTTTATAGGCACGAGCTTTTTCAAGAGTAAACTCTAACTTGTTAGACCTTATTATAGTTTCCATGAACTCTTTGCAGATGCAATTTCAAAGATAATGTTGGTCCAGAATGAGTAATGTTACTAAGAGAGTCAATATTCTTGAGACCAATCAAAAGTCAAATGAACTATTTAATACCTCTATTTAATTTACTTGTCCAAAAACTATGTTAGGTAAGCTGAATTAGCTTGTGCCTAGTACTTACTCTCTTATAAAAACTAGAGAATAAGAATGGGTAACCAATTATTTTATGAAAAAAAATTGTAGAAAGTTAAATGAATCATTTAATATATTTTTTCAATACAGTGATAAAATATGAGAGCTGGTGGCTCTTATCACGGGACGTTTTCTTAATAGTATTACTTATTCAAAAATTATACACCTTTGTCACAAATGAGTACTTTGTAATTAGTGCACTTCTTAATAGTATTACTTATTCAAAAATTATACACCTTTGTCACAAATGAGTACTTTGTAATTAGTGCACTCGTTTAACCAAGTCAATGTTAAAAGGGTACTTTGAAAATATTATAAAAAATTTAGAATGAAATGTATATTTTGAGACATCCTAGAATAGAAAAATAGACAAGAATTTTGTAACACATGAGTATTGCAGCTTAGTTGACTTGCCATAGTAGGTCAACTTAACTTTTGTATTAATTTTGATAATCCTATATTAATTTTCATAATCTAATAACACACTTACATCATTTAAAGCCTGAGAGATGACAATCTCCATGATTTATGAATGACATAATAACCATGGATTTGGGTCATTTAATGACTGAGATGTGATAATTGGAGTATATTAAATTAATTGTTATATTAAATTAAACAATTACTAGTAATTAAATGGTTTAAGTCTCATCACAATCGGATTTACTTCATTGAACAAGTGAGAGATTATAGTTGTTGTCATCACTTCAATGGGAAAATGGAGGTGATAAATGCACTCAATTTATTTTTTATTTTTTTTTCTTATTCTTGAAATAAATAATACAAATCTTTTATACTTGATTCTCATTAATTGAATTAAGAATAATAATGTCTATCATTTATCACATCCCATGAGAAAATAATAAATATGAGAATAATGTGTATCAACTATTCATTGAATTTTAGCCATTTTTTATCATTTACAAGATCATCTATAGTGTTCAGATATGTGTACATCACAAGAGAGCCTAATGGATGGTTTACATGAGGTTGCACGCATGATAGTTCTGCTCTTTTTTATTATTAAAAAAAAAAAAAAGAAAAAAAAAAAAGAAAAGTAAGAGAAAAAGTACTCTTGTGGTAAAATTTAAACCACGCGTAGGCAGAGCCCGTGATATACGCGCTACGTGAGCTTCATTTGGAGGTAAGGTGAGCGTGAATTCCATCAGACCTCGTCTCTACTCTCGGGCGAGCATTACCCACGCCCGAATTATTCGGGTTTTTATTCGGGTGGGTCTATGACTATATGTATTTGCCACATATAGGGCCTTAAGTATCAATTCACCAAGATATATATATATATATATTTTTAATACCTAATTGACCATATTAGGGAGAATGATCCTCAACCTGAAATTGATCATCGAACTGCAAAGGTAAAAAGAGAATTTTTTTTGCAAATTCATTGGTTAAGTAAGGATGAAAGTGTAACTAATTATCAAGAATAATGAGAAGCCATATTGTTTAGGGGTACACAAGAAACTGTTAGAACCAACAAATCGGTATCGATCCAAGCTTCATTTCAATTCTTTTATAATTCAGTTCCGATTCCAAAATTAGAAACTGTTATTTTACCGTTTCGGTTCTAATCCATTAAGACCAAATCAGACATAAAACAAACATATGATTATAATATTAATGAAGAGAACCGTGATTGAAGCGAGTTTGTTTCCCTATATATATATTTAAAAATTAAACAAATTGTTTCAACAATATTATCAAAAGCGAACAATTAATCAGAACCAAACTGAACCATTCTTTCTCCATTTTCGTACTGAACTTTAGACCTAATTCTTTACAAAATACCAGGGTCAAATTATTTATCTATTTGAGCCAATCCCTTAAGATTGTGCACCCTTAATATTGTTTCTAGGTTCATAAATATTTTAACGAGTTCAAACCCAATCATTTTCGAATAATCTTTTGACTCTATAAAAAATAAAAAGAATGATCACTATTTGAGACTTTTTCAACATAGTTGTATCCAAAAACAATGGACCCAAGTAGTTGAATTCTATTCTATAGAAATGGACTGTGATTGGCCCTTGTTCATGGATGAATAGGTGAGAGGGAGAATGTTTGGTAGCTTTTTTTTTTTTTTTTTCTTTCTATAGTTTGGTTTTGAGTTTGGTGGAAGGGCAACATCTTTCAATATGCGTGTGCTGCCAAGAGTATGCCGAAAGACACAATAACTTTATTTATTTCTTTCTTTCTCCATATATATATATTTCCAATTGAAACCTGCCGTATACTTTTATCTTCTTGGCTTCTTCTTTGGTTTAACAACTATACAAAATGTCTCAATGTCTCTTAATTTCTGAAAATTCTATGTGACCCACTAATTGGAATTTCTTATTTAGTCCAATATGTAACCCACTTTAGTAAAGGTTACATCATTTTCTTCACACATCTAGTCACAATGGGATAAGAGTATTAGTGTTTTGTGAGCCGCCCCAATACCATATTTCTCCTTCATCATCATTCATGACTCATATCCATGTGACAATATATATATATTTTTATTATTATTATTATTTTATTTTGTGTGTGTGTGTGTGTTTTGAGGAATCCATTCCTCACCCTTTCATTTCACAAGTGATATTTGTTTAATTTTGGGGTTACAATGGGGCCTACATGTGCATCCTTTCAATGCCCCCTCATAAAACCCCTATCCAAACCCTACTAAAACCCCCACCCTTGGATTTTCTTTTTACCCATTTTAAAAATCCAACTTCCCAATATATGGTCATTGAATTTTCATTTTACCCATTCAAAACCCCCCGAAGTTTCCAACGGTCTCTTCTTTTTGCCTTTCATCTTGTTCTTCATCCCCTTCCTCTTCCTCTTCCTCCTTTTAACCAAACTAGTAGCAGTAAAGCACACCTGCGATGCATGTGTTATTATATATACATATATATATAATAATTTTTTTTATTATTGAATTTTAGTAATTTAGTTTTTAAATATTATATATTTTCTTTTCTAATTAAATTTTCTACTGCTATATTATTATTAATATTTTCTACTACTATATTATTAAATAAGTTTTTTAATATTATATATTTTTTCTCTAATTAGATTTTCTACTAGTATAATATTATTATTATTATTTTCTACTACTATATTATTAGATAAGTTTTTAAATATTATATATTTTCTTCTCTAATTAGATTTTCACTTATTGAATTTTAATATTTTCTACTACTATATTATTATTGTTAGTAGTATTTCATTCTCGATCTAGTTAGATTTCATTTTATTGAATTAAATAAATAAGTATTTTAATATTATATATTTTCTTTTCGAATTATATTTCCTTTTATTGAATTTCAGTAGTGTAATTCTTTAATATAATATATTTTCTTTTATAATTAGATTTCCTTTTATTGAATTAAATAAATAAGTTCTTTAAAATTATATATTTTCTTCTCGAATTAGATTTTATTTTATTGAATTTCAATAGTTTAATTTTTTAATATTATATATTTTCTTCTTTAATTAGATATTTTTTTATGTAATTTTATTATTTCCTACTACTACATTATTGTTATTAGTATTTCCTTTTATTATAGTTTTATTATAAAATAATGTACTAAAACACACAACAATGTATTAAAACTCTTTGTACTTTTTGTACACACAAATTTCGTCTTCGAAAATTTAGGA